TAAATAAATTCTTTCTCAAATATATATATATATATAATATAGTACATATAAGTTCTGACTCTAAAAAAAAAATTAAAATCCCAACTTTATACGATGTTATTTCATCAAATTGAAATTTAACTTAAAATTTAGAAATTCATCCTATTAAGTTAATATTGATACTTGCAATTACATTAAAAATGTATTGTATTAACTATTTAAGATGTGATAATAATCTAACTTGATAAAAAGACACTAAGGAGGAAGGGAGTACTTCTTTTGAGCAATAAATATATACGAATAAAATTTAAAAAGCATAAATTAATAACAATAAGATTATGTAAAATGTGTTTATAGGTTTTTCCATTCTTTGTTGTTAGGATACACATTAATGGTGCAATAATTATATCTTTCTATAATTAATTTATATAAAAAATAAAAAAAGTTAACTTGAATTTAATTAATTAGTTAATTAAAACTATTTATGTGGTAATGTATTAAAATAAAAATAAACTTTTATAATTTTTTATGTAAATTAATTGTAAAAAAATACATTTATTACACCTTTAATTTTTGCCTTTAGGGCACAACTTAGACAAACTTTGTACTTAATTATAAGCCAAATTTGCTAAAAATTAAGCTGACAAACACTCCATAATTACATCTTTTTGACAAACATCATTCCAAAACTATTAATTTAATTAATTTGAATAAGGTGAAAAAGCCTATTAAAATTATATAGTTTTTGAGTTGAGTAGTTTTGAGATGAGGATTTCAAAACAATATAATATTAAGATGTTGTTCTCCTAATCTTTACAAATTTATGAATTTTCTAACTTGTGCCCAGTGCACCTCTTTTGTAATAAATTCGTATAAGAAAATGTAAAAGTAAACATTAATTTTAGTGTTAATATCATGCAAATAAATTTAATTAGATAATTAATAAATTAAATGTTACTTTTTATTTTTTTTAAAGACTCTTAATTTGTGCTTTAAGAGCATGCGTTAGAGAAACCCATAAATGTAACTAACAAATACAAAAATATCAATAATAAAAATAATTCATTTTTAAAAAGGTATTTATTACGCTGATGCTTTTAATATCTGCTCTTAATTTGGGAAAGGTGAATAAGAGCCCCGGAAGCCCAACTCTTCACCTCATCAAGGTTGATTTCCATTAAATCAAGTGGTGAACAACTTGATCCAAAACATGTAAAATTAATCCAATAATTATTATTTTTAATCTAGAAATATAGGCATTTACTAATTATACTAGTGTAAGTTGCACCATAATTTACATTAGTTAATAATTTTTTGTATAATTTTTATTTTATGAAAGATTCGTCTAATCTATATTTTTAAGGTACAGTTTAAGGGTGTATTAAAATTTTTATTAATTTACATAAAAAACACAAAATTAATTTTATTTTCAAAACCCATTATGTGTGTACTATTTTAATTGGGAGGTTGATACAATTAAAATTAACTTTTATTTTTTATAACAATTAATGAGAGAAAGGTGCAGTTAATAAATCTTTAAGATGCAAACTAAAAAACCATATTTTGAAATTAATTGTTGAATTCAATAATCTATTTGTACAAGTGGTATATAGATTTGTCTATTTTGTACTTTAAAAAAAAACTTAATTATTAGGTAATAATTGTCAATTATTTTCTTAAATAATGTGAGATTTTAAATTAAAAAATAAATTTTAATCTTAATTTCAAAATGAAAAAATAAAAAATTAATACATGACATTTATAATAAAAACAAAAGTCAACTTAATTATTTTCAAGATAAAATATTATAATAATTATACAATTATTATTTCTTATATTCTATGCCCTAAACAATACATGATAAATAAACCCATCATATATATACACACACTAAATTTCAAGTATATCAAATATGTAGGAAGAAATTGTGTTTTTTCCGTATTTAACAATCTAAAATTATGTATCAACATGAACTAGTTATATATTCAACTAATTTAAAATTTGGTATGCGCAATTTATAATATTAAATTTAATAATCGATTTGACAAAATATAAATTAAAACTATTATTTACTTGTGTCAGTTATAATGTAATTGACAAAAATATAAGTTGATCGTAACTATTCTTGTTTTGTGCTTTGGAGTTTGGGATAATAGCAGTGGGTATATTTAATGCATTTGTCATTTGACACTTGACATTTCCTCTGTAACGGCCTTTCATTTCATGTCATGATTCCGAGGCTTTCTGAGTTTTAGGGTTTCTTTTCTTTAATTCCTCTCACCAACCCAACCAATCAATCAGTCTTTCTTGAGTTCTCTTCCATTTGTTCCGCTTTGTCTTATTCACCCGGGTTCTGTCCTCCTTAAGGTTCAGTCAATGGGGTCGTTTCTTGGCACTACTTCTCCTTCAATGCCGTCCCACGAATTTTGTTTATTATTTTAAAAAATGTAGTACTATTTGTACGGTATTTAATTATATAATTTAAATTATTAAATAATTTTTTTAACATTAAAGATTATTTATCATTTAATAATTTTTATTTTATAATTTTATATAATTTAAATTATAAAATAAAATATTATTATTACTATCATTAAAATTTAACTTTTAACTTCGAAACTAAGATAAATGAGAAGGATTTAATTAGTTAAACAAAAATATTATTTTTATTATATAAGTCATTGTAAAATATATTAATAAAAAAAGTAGCTTACCATTGATCTTTCGCATGACAATATATTATATTAATATATAAGAAACATGAAAAGAAAATTGAGTACATTTTATATATATCATAATATCCTCTACTCTACATGAATAAATGTTAAGAAGGGTTTTCAATTAGTATTTTTTAATACATCATAAACGCCATACATGCATGCATGCCTCCTTTTTTTTTTTTTTCTAGTATTCTTCCCTTCGACATTGAAAATTCTCTTCCTTCAAAATCCTGCAAATTAATCCTACAAAAAATTAAAAATTAGAGATATTTAGTATCAAAAAATATTATTAATCAATTATTTAGAAATAAAATATTGAGAGAAAAAGGAGATTGGTCTGTAAGGCGACCGTGTGGCACTCCCTAGAGACTGAGTGTGGCCAAATTTTTCAGTCATTTTCTGTTTCGGTCAACACACTATGATTCTGGGAATTGTGCCATGATCCTTAATTTGTTTTTTTAAAGAAGACTTTCAGACTAAATTAAGATGTGATCACACGAGGGAAACCCTATTTCATTATCATGGTTACTGCTCTTTGAACCAATCAATTTATTTCTATGAACTAAAAAAAAAAAAAATTGCTTGCTTTAGTTTGGAGAAATTAATATAGCTAGATGACTACAACAAAATGTTTTTGTTTCCAAGTCAAACTACATAAAATTAACCATTAATGAGGTGGGCTCCAAATGTGGGTCATCCTCCCCTATCAATAGTTGCTTTTTTAAAGTTCGGCATATATGTAGTCCAAACAATAAAAGAGGCTCTATGTAATTCTAAAAATCTGAGAAAAAAAAATATAGCTTTCAATTTTAAAAGGAAAGCAGAAAATTCCACAAAAAAAAATAAAATTTTTGTGGTCCTTTTTATCATCTTATAAACCCTAATTTCAAGATTTTCTAGGAAAGAAAACCATTCAAACCCTAATTTACGGGTTTCATATTCTTCATTCATCATCATAATTCATACATTCTTCAATGGATATTGGCTCGGATACAGAATTTTAAGATATAATATATAGTGTATGCATGCTGACATGGTTACTTATAATGGATATATCAGAGAGGATGAAAATAGAAAAGTACCTGTTACCATTAAGTAATTGAGAAACACTAACTCAGGGATCAATTGTACGCCGGTCATCTCCGGTGGCAGCTCTAGGTTGCTGGAACTGACTCAATTGTCCAATCCCTGTGGAGATGTTATTCATGGAAAGAAGGTTGGCGTCATAGTTGTTTCCAGAATCAAAGGTTCTGATCATTTGCTGTGGATGATCTCTAGGGAAGAACTGGCGGTGATACTGGTGTTCCCGCCCTCCACCGCTGCCGCTGCCTATAAAGTTGATTCCTAAGCTCTGGTGGTGCGTGTGAGTGTGTGTGGTTGTAGCAGAGGCAGCCGCAGCCGCTGCTGCGATTAGGCCTGCGTGGCCCGTGATGCCAAGGCTCTGGTACTTGGAGAGTTCGGACTTGGCGCTACTCAGGTCCATCTGTAGCTGGCGGAGCTGGTGCTGGAGGAGGGAAATAACGCCCACGCAGCCATAGACGGGGTCGCGAAGGCGCATGTCCGCCTCATAAGCAAGCGAATTCACCGCATCCTCGCGCTGAGATGGGTGCAGTTCGTTGAGCAGCTTGGTTACATTGCTGGCACCAAATACCTTATGGACGTTGGCGAACTTTTGGGGCTGGTCCGGTGGAAAATATGGCGCGAAGACACACTCCGGCTGGCATTTCCGCCTTAAAAATTTGCAGGCCGCGCATGGAGAATTTGATGAAGATGCCATGTTCTACCTATAAATATCACAATATATCCAGAAAAAAATTGGAAAAATGACAAAAGTTTTTTTAAAAAGCTGAAAAAAAAAAATCAGGCATATATTAAAAATTTTAATAAACGGAAAATATGATTTAGTCCTATATTGCTCTAATTCATAAAATGAAAAAAAATAAACGGTACACAGGAGAATGGGGGATTTGGGAATAAAAAGAGTTATGCTTCTTGTATAATCTATAATAAGATGTAAACAAAAAAAAAAAAAACATCGGAGTGGGAATATAAACATTACTTGATTTCAGGAGGATGTTCAGGATTTTCTGTTTGGGAAGAAAGAAAACGAAGGAAAAATTATAGACAAGTGCAGCTCTAATGGCGATGATTAGGGTTTGGAGATGAAATTTATAAAAAGTTATATATACATGTATATAACTTATGGAAAGGGAAAAAATGATCGAAAAGTCCTAGCTATATAAAGTAGAATATATAGAAGAAAATCAGAAATGGAAATTTAACGGCTTGATGAATTTCTGTTTTAAAATTGGAAAGATTATTATATATATATTTTTATGGGCAAATAAAACTGGAAACATTACCCTTGCAGTATCAATCGCCTTTAATTTCTGATTTTCTCCGATTCGGTGTTTCTCTGAACTGGGTTTCTACTTTCTCAGGAAAAAACAGAAAATATAAAACTTAATTATTATCTGCTGTTTGGGTTAGCCTTTACAGATCTAAGCTGTCAAAGGAAAGCTAGGCAAGGGATCGGGAAAAAACAAAAACCCAATTTCCCTCACTTTTCATTAGGGAAGGGGAGAAGCACAAAAGGAGAAGGGACTTAGCTTTTACCTAATGTGTGTTTGGGAGGTGGGAAAAGGAAGGGAAAGGGAAGGGATTTTCCCGGAGGTATGAATAATGGAATTGGATCTCGTGAAGAGATGTACTTGTATTTTTCTAGTTTCAATGGGAAAGCTTGTGGGGAGCAGATCTTGCTTGAATTTCATACAAATAATGCTATAATAGCAATCAAGCTATATATATTCTTCTCAGACCAAAAGAAAAAGAATAGCAGCTATTCTTTATTTTGATGTAAAGATATATTGACATATACATTTTCTTTTTCTTTTTCTTTTTTATTTTTTGTATATAAAATTTCGGGATGAACATTGAACTACAAAAACATAAACAAATACTAGTAAATGAAAGAATATTAGTTAAAAAACGAATACCGCCATATATTAAAGAAAAAAAAAGAATATACTATAATATGGGTCTGACTCTGACTACCAAGGAGAGATCTTGGGATGAAGAATTTTACCTCTTATTCTTTTTGTCTTGGGAGTTTAATACGATAAAGTATGAAGAAAGGATTGATATGGTACTAGGGATAGCTAGCCTCGTATTCTTCAGTCAAACTTTATGATCTTTTTTTATGCTCAAACTTGATGGGAAAGATGGAAAAAGGGAAGGCAAAAGGAAAAATGTATAGCTGAGGTTGAAAAGGCTAAACTTTGTAAAGGCTAGGCACCCTTTTCGTTTTTAGGGATTGATCCTTTTGATCATGCACATTTGTCTTCTTTTTTGGCGGTTTGTTCGCCGGAGAAGAAATGGGAGGAAGGGAAAGAAAGAGAAATACATATAAAGATGATGGAGAAAGAGAGAAAGAGGGAGGAGAGAAAACTGGCGAGGGAAAAGAGGGGGAAGTCCCCCAGAAGCAGAGGCAAAGGGGACGGGGAGAAAGCACAAACACAATGGAGGTAGCTAGGTATGTGTTTGGGAGAGGAAGGAGAGAGACAGGAATGAGTGGATTTTCTGGAGGGGTATGGTTTGTTTTATGTTATTATTACTGAGGGAGAGGGATCAGGGTTCAGAGATTTGGAGGATGCATGTTGTGGTGATAAGACAAGACCATTGCATTGGCATTTGCCTTCTGCCCTGTGCTGTGTGCCCCCACTGCCCTTTGTACTCTCTTTCTTTTTAAGAGTTTAATTAGGCTTTCAGGTTCTGCTTTCTGTCCCACCCATCTCTACCGCTCAACAACCTTCCTCCAATATCAATCTGCTTAGTTTTGGAACTGTTTGAAGTTTGAATACATAATCTGCAAAATTTCTCAATTTGCATACACTATGTATCTTATTATATGATGATTGCTCATTAATCCAGCTTTGTAACCAATATTTCCCTGACCTTGTTTTCATGGGTATTGACTCCATTAAGCTTCTGTTTATATAGCTAGATCTTCTATATTATATATATGCACTTTTCCCTTCCAAAAGTTGAAAAAGTATGATCTCCCAGCCAAGAGTCGGTTGGACATCCTCTAAGACGGATAATAAAAATTTTTTCATAATATATTATATTAAAAAAAATTAAAATATCTTGACATCTAATAAAACCACATTATAAATGAAACTCAATCATAACCTATACTATATTTCATATAATTTATAAATGTATGATTAAATATTTTGACATTTGTAATAATTAGAGATTCTTATTTTCCATTTTCCTCTTCCTCACACTATACATGACAAAATTTTAGCATTTACCAAAAATTGAATAAATAAAACAAAAACTAATGTCCTTGGAGCTGCCCTAATTGACTGAACCCACCATGAGTACCTAGCTAGGTAGGTGATTGAAACGCGCTTAAAAGCTCCACTGCTCCAGTATGCATATCACTTACAAACATGGAGACTTCAACTTCGAGGGGGCCAATCAGCGGTCAACACATGTCCACGTGTAAAGTACTTATATAGTAGTCTTCTGCATCCAAATCCATAATTTACTACTCCTTCCGTTCCTATTTATGTATGTCTCCTTTAACTTTTGCAGGCAACTAATATTAACAATCTGCTAATTGCTAGTAATTCATTTTCGGTTTTAGTTATAAGCACTTTAAATGTTATTTTTACAGCTCAGCTCCCTTCAAACCAAACCAAGTCTTAATTAGTTTAAGTGTAAATTTCAAGTGTTAGATTTACTAATAAATAGAACAAAATCTTTGGATTCAATGATTCGTCTTTAAGTTTTAATGTTTGAGTTAAGTTGATCAAGAGTTTGATTGCAATCAATGACTTAAAATTTTCTCATTCTTTCATAATTCCCCTGTTTAAAAACAAGAAGAAGTAAGTATCATTTATAAATTAAATTTAAAGTTTTAGCCTTTAAATTAGTACCTAAAAAAATTAATTTCCTCTAATGCATTAAGCCAATACAAGAGTGTACTTTTAAAATTATCTTTGGAAGGATTAGTTTTGAGGGATACAAAAACTGACCGAAAATATTCTAACAATTAGATACCAAATATATAAATATATATATAAATTGGTTTAAGTGTCTAGCTTAGTAAAATTTATTAAGTTCGATATAATTACATAATTGTTCTATATAATTTTATATGATGAAATACTAATTAATCGAAAACCCATATTAAAAAAAGCACTCAACTAGACCAAACAAACTCTATTTATTATAGAAAGCAGTACTAGTGTATATAATTCTCTGGAAATTATACATACCAACAAAAGCTTCATAACTTTCCTCCAACCAAGATTTGGCGTCATATACAATATGTTTCATATGCTTCAATTAAGTAAAATTTTGGTCAGCGAAAATAACAATTAACTAAAATTTTAATAGACATGAGCCTTGTCTTGGTTACTTTTATTTGAGAAATTTTCTTGGCTACTTTTTACTACATGATCATTGACATGTCAACTTTAAAGTAGGGCTTTTTTAGGTCATTACAATGTCCTTCAAGTCCCAAACCTCCTTGAAAATGGGCCGGTAACGGGATTAAACTTTTTTGGAGCTTGTAATCGGAAAAATGCCCCGGTAACGGGAATTACTCCGATCGCCTTTAATCTCCTTTAAAACAAAAAATTATACACATAAAATGAGCAAATAATTAAGAATTTAAGATGGATTATCTATTAATTGCATGATAAAAAGGGTACTACAAAAGGACAGGACTGGCATGGCCTTAACCATATGTGGGGTAAAGAAAAAGATATATACATATATATATATAATTCATTTACATATAAATTTTACATATCACATTTACATAAGATTTTAATTATTTTATCTTTTTACTTTCGATAATT